TCTTGACGTCTATCTCAGAGTCGCTGCGCCACAAGATCCTTTGTAGGTGTGTTTGCGAAGGATGTACGAGTACTTACCTGTACATTTTTATGATGTCTGCGATCAGTACGTAAAGTGCGGAATCGCGTTATGATTGACATCAAATCTTGCTGTACAACCGGACCAATTCTCAAGGCGTCGTTTAGAACTATTCCCGTGTCACTTTAACACGAGGCATCAAAAACAACACGAATCTTTGACGATTGTCCGATGCTCTTACGGACACAATGATGAGGTAATAGAATGCTGTATCCTCGTGCACGTTAACCTCCTTCATGTGTCTTAATGCCAAATACTCTTCCATGAAGTGGACATATTGGACATATCCCTTAGATTTGGCTCCCGAACGAATCATCGCTCTATTTCTTGCAATCGTCGCAGAGCAGTATTTCTTGAGTTTCCGATCATTAATCGATTGCTCCTTAACCGGAAGCTTCATGTACCTGCCATGGTCATCCTGAGACACATCGCAAAGTGCTCTTCGCAGTAAGCATTGTTCCTGTTGATTATTATGGACTCGCCGATATCTTCGATCCGCCAGAATTGCGTCAGCTGATCATGTAGCTGAGCATTGGATATGACCATAGTGAAGGCTTGCACCCTTTCCGTAGATATTGTGCTGCTGCGGCGTCCAGCCAGGACCCATCTGAACCTCGTTTTTCTTAGAGTTGTATGGTCCGGGTCTAGATTTGTCTCACGCGGAGCAGCTCCTAGAATATCTCTGCTCCAATCAAGATGTCAATGTTGGAGGAAACATTAAATCGAGGATCCGCCAAATTGAGGTTTTGAGGGATATTATAGTCTCCCCGTCTTGATGTGGATGTCGGAAGTTTCTCGGTTATTTGATCTGTTAATATACAATCTAATGACCTGGAATAAGAATTCATCGTGATTGTACCGTTACCTTTATTGTCTGCGTAGCGTTTGACGTAATATAATATTATTGATATCGATTATCGACACGTTTAGAGAACGTTGCTGCAAACCGAGAGTCTCCGCAAATTTCCTTGAAATAAAATTCGCCTAAGAAAACCAGAGTCCAGTAAAACTCAACACGAGCGTGATGTTCTATCGTAGGCGACAGCGTTGACTACCGCCGTGGAAAACATGACGTGATTCTTGCCATGATTGTCGACAAGTGCGTGACTACGACTGTCGTGGAACCTTCTGTCTTCGATTCCTTCATATTGTCGGGATTCTCCGATGAACTGGTGCTCATGTGTAGCAATATGCTTGGCATCACAGATTTTGCAGCCTCTTGATGGGCATTTAATCAATGAATGCGCTGAAGATTTGAATCGCGGACAATTGACGCAAAGCTTACGATTGCAGACCTCTAACGTCCTCTGCTTGATCGGCGTCGCTAAAACTCCTTACAAAGGTACATGCTCGCCTTTGCAATAATTACATTTGGATTTGACTGTTGCCACGCATGCGGCTTATCGTTTTGGATTAACCTGCGATCGTTTATTACAATCCTTGGAGAAAACACTGACCTTGTTTGTAGCCTCTAGTATCTGACAATAGTAAGAAATAAAATCGTTAAACTGTTTAAATGTGGAGGGCTCTGTACTTACAGAGAAGATTGCCATTCTCGTAATGTGCGTGCATCAAATTTTGAGATTAGGAAATACACTAACAAATCGTCCCAATGCGACGTGAGACATTTGAGAGCCTTAAGGGCATGTACGTTCCGAATTGCCCCGTCTACGATTCAGCGCAGTTTAGTTAAATCTTTCTTCGTTAAAGACGGCAGGTCGAAAGCAAGGTATCTCGCTGTCACAGGCGGAACTTCAATGTCAAACAGAAGGTATCCCGCCATCCACAAGCGGAACTTCTGTGTCGAAAAAAACACTCCCGTCAGCAACGAGCAAAATATCCGTCATCCAGCAGGTCATCCTGACGCTCGAGCAGAGATTCTAACCTCGAAGAAGTCGTCGGTCATAACCGGTCGCCCTCAGTCATAATCGCCGCCTGCGTCGAGAGTCACCTGCATTCTCAGAGACACGCTCACATGAGGACAGCTTCCCCGGGACCGCACTAACGAAGGAAGTTACATCATCGAGGGCGTTCCTACGCATAATATCGGTAAAGAGGATTGTTCGTGGTAGTGCCAATCGAGAATCTTGTCGTTATAAGTATTCAAGTAAGATTAGCTTGCGATGTCGTCCGAGCAAGATATCAGTGTGCTTAAAAAACAACGGGCATCATTAAGGGCTCATGCACGCAAATTAAGACATATGTTGACGCGGTCATTCAGGCCACTCCGGCCATTGTTGCTCAGCTCGAGGAGCGCAGAATCAAGTTGAACGAACACTGGTCACAGTATAACATCATATAAAGTCAAATAGAGTTGCTTGATGACAATGAGAGCAATGATCGGGTCGTCTTTGAGGAAGCATATTATTTACTTTGCGCGAACTTCTCAATCCGATACTGTCTCGGCGAGCGCAGCCAACGTTGCCATCCACATCGAGTGTATCTAGTCGATCAGAAAACCAGTTTAACGTCCGATTGCCAAAGTTAAATCTTTCAACGTTTTCCGGCAAATACGATGGTGGTTCCCATTTTTCGATTCATTTGATTCAATCATTCACTCGAATGTGACATACAAAAATTGCAATACCTCGCTGACCGGCGACGCAAGTAATGTAATCAGTGCCCTTGCAATTTCCGCCGCGAATTATCAAATAGCATAGAATCTTTTGAGGAAACGTTACGACAATAAACAGATAATCATTCACACGCACATCAAGGCCATACTGAAGTTCCGCCTGTGATGGTGGGATAGCTTGCTCGTATAGTCGTCGTTTGGTCCTTCGAGCCGGATATCAATCATCCGAGCTTCATTGGAAAGTGCAATATTAGCGCAAGCTAATATTGCACTTTCCAATGAAGCTCGGATGATTGATATCTGGCTCGAAGGATCAAAAACATTGTTAACACAAAACTGATGTCTCGTAATATGGCGAGTTTCGTGGGCATGTCCCCGTCACAGTCCACACATGTTACGGGTGATTCCGTCAGGAGCGACGTAGTCGAGAGAATGCAACATGTTTCTCTCTGAGTTGAAATTAATTTTATTTGCTCTGGATTACAACAGTCGCAAGCACGGACAAAAATTTGATAATTTTGCCGCGTAAAACGGGTATCGTTGTTCGCACCGATCGCGTGGCCGTTCATCACAAAGTGTGCCAACACACACATACAAAAAAAGCAGGTATAGGCGCCCTCTCGTCTAGTGACACCGTTCAGCGCTTAACGCCGGCCAATCATGGTCGCGCCGATACGACTGGCCAATAGCCAATTATGCGCTTATTGCGCAGGATCGCGCGCGAGTTATGACTGTCTGGTCAACGCACGCGACTTATGCCTCAAGAAAAATAAGACACGACGGTAAAAAACATATTAATAGTATTTATGATACATTGTGGTCGAACTCCACGATAGTCTTAAATTGGATAGCATCGTCATTGCGAAAATGATTGGTATTTGTTCCACAGAATCGGAGAGATTCAAAGCATAACTAATCCTAGCAATTAGCGCCACATTAAGTCGTTCGATAACCCTGCCGATATCTTGTCGCGCGATCTCGACCAATAAGAATTAACAAAATTTTCAACGTACTGGCATGGACCCTTCTTGTTACTGAGTGACGACTGCTGGTCCAAATCCGAATTTCACGCGATCGTTAAAAAATCTTTCCAAACAGAGGAAGTGCTTCACGGCCGTCGCTGTCTGTGATCACTTTATCGTAAACGAATTGCTAAACATTCGAAGCTTAATAAGACATATCATATTCTCGCATACTGTCTGGGGTTTTTCAGATCTCATCACCCGGACGAGTCTATGACCTTTATGTCCCACCAAGAGATGCTAATCGCGTTACAAATCTTGTATAAATCGCCGTAAAGTCATGGTTGCACCACGTCTTGCATAACGCATAATGCATAGTGCACAAGAGAACTAACTAATCGAAAATCTTCTTTTCTATAGAATGGGAGGAAAAGAAAGATTCTGATTAGTTGATTTGTTTATGCATTATGCAAAAGTCTATGAGGCCTTCAAGCCTTTTTCGAGGAGCATAGAAGGCATTGTGTGCAAGAAGCGTGCCCTTAATGCATCGACCAGTATACGAGTACTATCTCTAT